TGAAGTTATCGCTGGTGGTGTTTGGGAAGCAGCGCTGTTCTTATTTTTCTGCTCAGTTATCGGCCAGACCCAATTCAGATCTTTTTTTTTTTTTTTTGATTTCTTTCTCAAACAAACTCCATCTCTCAAAAAAGATAATCAAGATAATCTTCCTTGAAATTCCGTTCAGCGGTCTCGTCTTATTTCTATATATCCTTAACGCCCTCAGTGCCGCTGACAAGCTTTCCTCGGCTGCTGCATCACCTCATTGTGATCTGGTTTCCTCGCTTTCTTTCCCCACTATTTTGAATGGAAGAGCTACTCACAATCTCTCTGTCACCTTTGAATTCGCCCACTATCGTCCGGTCACTACCACCATTTTAAGAGATACGCCAGGAATCGGCCATATAGTACTTGTCAAGGGCATTCTTATGCAAGTACCCAACGCCAGACCGGAAGATCACCACTTGTACATGAAATTAAGTAGCGATGAGGTTAGGTTCCTGATCAGCAGCTTGAAATCGGGGAAATTACTGAAATAGCAAAATTTGGCCGGATACGTACAGTGTTCTGTTCATTCTCCTGTCTTGAAAATAATTTTGTGGGCGAGAAGTTGGCAACCTTGTCCGAGGCTTATACTTTCACCCTCGTTACTGAGGGTCTAACAGAGAGCCGGTAGTCCATTTATGATTCAGTAGGCGCATGAACAGGCGCTCTTCGAGACTCTCTTGAAATCTGTCAGTCACCAATTATGCTTGTTTGCTTCATTGAGATTACGTTGAAAGATGTTGAATTCGAGCGGCAGTACTGTCCAAGGCACTATCCGTGCAAAATTTCCGTTCAACGACGATGAAGCGGCTGATGCGCTGGCCAAGGCAATCAGTTCGGACAGAGGCAAACCAGTGATACTGCACATACTTACGCGCATCAGTAACACCCAACGACAAATGGTACTGCTTTCTTGTTTGAACTGCAAAACTGCTGCAGTCAGTGCGATGAGCGAGTGAAATGTCGAGAGGATGCAGATCCTTTTTTTTTGTGGCTAATGCGTGCTAAAATTGCGCAGAATAAATTTAAATGATAGGCTGAATAAAATTTAAAAGACTTAAAAGATCAGCTGAATAGGCTGAAAAGTTTTATGATGATACCGGATGGTCTAAATATATTGCAAGGCAGTTAACTGGAAACAGTTTTTCTGGTATTTGCTTCTGCTGATCCCAACACGTGCGCGCGAAAATGTTCTGCTCCGAAAGTAGCCAGTACAGTAAAGGAAGTATTTTCCACCATCAGTTTGATTTGTTGTGTTTGCTTTCTGATAATCATGTCACTTTTCTTCTCTGCCAAAAAAAATACTCGTAGCAGATTTTGCCGATTTTTCAGTCTAAGCGCAAACGGATACGTTGGGGGTAGTGACGGCCATGCATGGTAACAACGCCGAAGTAGCTCCGGCATCACTAAAAATTATGGCATTCCCAGAGAGGCAGAGGTGTTGGTACTGCAAATTTGCAGGGAGAGAAGTATGAACTCGTGAATGGTTTAAAACCGGGGATTTGTGTTTCAGATCAGAACACCGTACACAGCAAAGTATAAGAAGGATTTAGTGAAGGACTTGGAAAAGGCACTATCCGGCGATTATGAGGAGGTCGTTTTGGCTCTCATGGAAACACCCACCAAATATGATGCGATTCAACTCAACAAGGCGATCAAGGTTACCGTCACTTCTTTTATTGCGTTAATTTTACTTTCGGAAAAAGCCGGGTGGATCCTTGTCTTACAATGCTTTTGAAAACATCTTATTGCTATGGGCTAGGCGAATTGGATACAAAAGTTTACTGTCAAATAGCACGGCAAATTGTTATCTTGATACGTCGATACTGTGATCAGTATTGATCGCATTGTTCCGTCCATGGAGCTAATAATCTGGCTGTGATCGAAGCGAACCATCTGATAACCAGCTTTCCTTAGTCCTCTTCATCACTCCCGAGGAAATTGGCCGATCTTTCACATTCTTTTCGTCGTCTGTACTGTTTAGCCATTTACTCACTCTACCTAACATCTATCGCCTAAAGGTGATGGTTCTAGAAATTAGTATTGTGAGAGTTCCGAGACATTAACCTTTGAATGACAAGATTCCGGAGCTTCAGTGTGAGGCAGTCATTTAACTCTTGATTACTTTGGCTGAAAGTATAAGATGCTGCTGTTCGTTAAAATTGCACCCATCATTAAAAGAGCGAGAAAAGTCACGATCTACGTCCGTGGTTGTGCTAAATCCTAAATGCAGAGCAACATAGCATCAGTGTGATGTTTTCCCGATTCTTTCAAAAGTCGGCAGTTGTTCGCGTCACGATGCATATCATAGGATGGAGCTTAGCGTAATTTGGAACTGATAGCATTTTGAAGTATGCGATGAATGGAAAGATAGGTTTTTGAAAAAGCATTCTGAAGAAGTGAATACATTGGAGCGAATTCGGTGAAAAAAAAGGTGAAAAAAGAAAGGTGCGAAAAATAAACTGCAAACAGAAGAATGCAGGAAACTCAAAAGTAGGGGCAGTCGAAAATAAAACACGAAGCCTGGATGATCAGTTTTGTTCAGTCACATATTATGAATTGTTTAACTTCTGTCTGTACTGAAATCCGA